CCTGCTGAAAGGGAAGGAGCAGTCCTAAACTGCAGCTGTGGTATGGCAGGATATTAATAGATGAGTGTGCTTGTGTCTGTCTACAGCTGATCTAGTCATGCCTGACTGTATTTTATTAGTCATTGGGGTTGACTTTCTACCTGCAATGCTTTGAATTGGGTTAGTAAACGTATTTTGAATGTCTCTGAAAGTACATCTGTTGCCAAGATGATAAGATAGCATGATAACAGATAAAGGTGTAATGTTGAAATTCTCTGTCAACGTAGGTAGTCCTTGGTGTAGAATAATAAGAGCTTCAGTGGCATGTGGGAACTTAAATAAATCCAACAAAGAGCCTAGAAGATAACAGCTTCCTCTCCTGTTTTATTCTGTTAACATATAATTGAAGGGAACTGATTCCCCTGTCCTCTTTGCCTCTTTCTTGCCTCCTTCTTGCCTCCATGCACATTTTTTACGGTGAAACAGGTATAAACCCTTCAGGCTATTAATTTTGAGAGTGCATGTGAGCTTGCCACGGATAATGCCTTAATATATTTACCTTTACTTTTTTGTTCAAAGTATAGAAGATCCTTTCTTTTAATTATTTCTGCAGAAGAACCAATTACGTAATTTTTATTGTTTTGACACTTGCTTTTTAAGACCTCTGAAGTTATTTCATTAAATTAATTTGTTAATGCAAGATTATTTCCTCCCCCCCCTCCTCTGTGCTTTGCTTTAGATGAAGTCCATAGTAGATAGGCTGTCATGATAACAGGGAAATACAGAGGTGGCTTGTCAAACTTTCTGGTCTTACTATGATTTTATACAGCCTAGTTCCCTAGAACGCAGAAGAGGATTTTCAAGTGTTCTTTATTACCATTCCTGAATTTCCAGAATGAAAATAGTGCAGATCAGCAGTGTTCAGAAGTAGACTTTGAATTACACTGTGAAATTAAATCAGTAAGCCAGGCTGCTTTCTGCTGCTCAAGCTGGTCTAGTTGTATCACGAAGCTTAAAAAAAAAAAAAAATAAAAGAGGGGGAGAGTGTAAAAAGTAGTGATCTGAAGCTTGAGAAATAAAAATTCTAGCTGATTTCTCTATTAGATAACATTGTCTATTTGTTTCAAATCCGGGCACGTAAAAATTATCTTTAAAAGTTCGGAGGAGTCTTGTAAACATTATCCTTCTGTAAACTTTAGCTAGAAATTGCAGATGTTGCTACTAAGTAAACATGGAGTCTGTGCTGTACTTTGGATAACCACTGAATGCCTTCTGACACGTAATGTTGTATATAGACTACAGTTACAACTCATATGTATATGGAGCTTAGTAAAGTATCTGTCAGCCAGTCATTCCCAAAGTAGGATCTTTTTCTTACAGAAAACTGCAGAGCTGTTGGTAAAAGGATCCTTTCAGCAACTTGTTATTGGTTAGGACACAGTTCACCACTACTAGACAATTGGAAGGAAGTGGACATAAAGACACTAAACTTCCAAAAACTGCATCGTATTCCTCCCATTAAAAAAATAATAAATAAATCCATTAAGTTAATGGTTCAATTAATGCTTTTAGGAGACAAACTGAGAAAGGTTTGCAGTAAACCATGTCCAGATTCTTGTCTTAAGAGTAAATGATTTAAAATGACTTATTCACCACCAGAGCGGCTATAGTGTGTGGCATGTTGCAAGCAAGGATGAACTCTGTATTTGGGTGGACTGTAACATACGTGATAAAAGTTCAAGCATCACTAGCACTGGTAAAATAAATATTCCACATCTCAACAGAGTTTTGCACTCCAGCAGGATGTTAACATGGTTGCACAGCTTCATGCTTAACTATATGTGGGAGGTAAACTTGTATTGATCCACAGTGTACTGTGTCTTAATCATGAGCCCAGTACATCCCTGATAAGTCACAATGGTAGATTTTATTGAAGTCTAATTTTCTTTTATTTAATCGTAATGAAAGAGAAAAGATGAAACTTATTAGATAACAGATTAGTTAAATCTTCCTATCATAGAATCATAGAATAGTTAGGGT